CAGTACCCACAGCTGACAGGGCACTTCTGCATACAGTGAGGAATGATTACCTGCTGTGACACATCCAGGAGTCGTGCAAATGCTGCCGGAATTGGTGCCGTAGTGCATATCTGTGGAGAGAATAAAACCGCACAAGAGCGTTAGTCATTCACGAGAGGCACCACAGAGCACCGCTGGCCACTCGACTGCCTCCCAGCCTCCACCGTAATGACCTGACAGGGCACTTCTGCATACAGTGAGGAATGATTACCTGCTGTGACACATCCAGGAGTCGTGCAAATGCTGCCGGAATTGGTGCCGTAGTGCATATCTGTGGAGAGAATAAAACCGCACAAGAGCGTTAGTCATTCACGAGAGGCACCACAGAGCACCGCTGGCCACTCGACTGCCTCCCAGCCTCCACCGTAATGACCCGGGCTCTTGTTTTATTTGGAAGTAAGTGAATTCCAGTGCTGGGAGAGACGCCGGGATGACAGACTTTTGTTCAACTGGAGAATCGATACCGTAAGGGCAGCTCCCCTCACGATGTCCTGCCAGCACACCTCCGTTCCTATGACGACGGGCTTGGGGGACTACTGCCATTCCCAGGCTAATCCCCTCCGCAGCCTCGGCGAGACCGTTGTCTATGATCACACTGAAAGCTGGATGCCACCTTCTCCGCTTCCTAGTGAGAGACTCAGGGACAAAGCCCTGGATTGTACTTGTTCCTGTTCAGTGTTGCGGCTCAGAACCTTTGTCAGCCCTGGAATCCAGAGATGGTTTTATGTTCCCCTGCTAAAGCCGCTCTCACAATAACTGGCTTTGAAAGCCAAATAAAGCCACGTGCTTCTAGGGCGCTATGAGCTGAACCCCTCGAGGCTCTTTTTTCTAGTCTGTTGTTCACCCTCTTTTGGTGAAACTTACCTCAGGGCAGTTCTGGCCCAGAGGCATCAATCTAGACACTGCTTAAGTCAGGGTAGGGAATAAGATGGCGGCGCTTTGATAGGGTTAGCCCCCAGAGGGCTGCCGCGGCTTTATTTACCTGCGGCACGGCAGGGAGGGGGCCATTGCAGTGGCAGCCAATGGGAGCTGCTAGAAATGGCGTGGCCTGGGACACTGTTTCCCACAGCTCCATGGCCAACGGGCACTGCAATCACCCGTACCTGCAGAGACGCAGGTAAATACAGCAGCGGTAGCCTGCCAGGGGCTAACTCTAGTGAACCGGATCTGGCCTGCTGGCTGGTGTTTGGGCTGGTACTTACATCCTCAAAGCTAGGGATGCGGCTTTAGTCGAGCATTAGGCCTTGTGTGTGGCCAGGCAGTAATCACTTTGTATCTCAGTTTCCCTATCTGTAAAATGGGTACTATCAACACTTATGTTACAGGAATGCAGTACCATTTATTTTTCCTTAGTATTTAGAAATTGCTCGGAGAGCTTCTCATGAAGGAAGGGGCTATGTTAGCAAAGGACATTCGTGTCATTAATCACACATTTTGAAAACAAGACTAGGCCCAGGCCACAAAGCTGGGATCTAAATCCAAAATTCCCCAGAGTTGGGGATTATTTGGTCTTTTACCACGTTTGGCCTGCTTCCCAAATCTCGCGGGGTTGTTCTTGAACGTTTGGGTGCTTTGTGCCTGTGTTTGTCCATGGGATACTTTCAGTCTCGCTGTGCGTGGCTGCTTTCGGGTAGGCAAAGGATCACTGAGGGCCCTCCCTGGGAAAAGCAACAAAAAATCACTTTCCAAATGGATTAAACGTGGTTCTCATGTGCAGCGGTACGGGGTGAAGTGATTCTAGTTGAATGCGAATGTTTGACAAGGGCAGACACAATTACAATAATTCAGGTAGACATAGAACAGTGGGGAGGAGAACAGTGCTGTGTAGTTCATCACTGGAAACAACACCCACAGCACCGTCTGTGCCTGGGAATGTAGCACTCAGGGCTAACCCAAGTGGGAGTACATGTGTAGACATCTGCAACAGACAAACGTCTCAAATTAGGGCCTAGTAATTCGACTGGGAATCTCAAGTGGAGGTGATTAAAGCACTTGTGACAACATACAAAACTACCCCAAATTCAAGGGTTTTGCCCATTGTACAAACTTGAAGACAGACCCATTTTTGTCATGTTTTTCCCAAATGGCACAACTTTTTGAGCTAAAAGCCAACCTCCTTTTTAATGCAGGCAAGCTGCTTACTGTACTAATGGCATGAAAATTCATGGGGGTGCACACTGAAATTGCAGATAAAGGGGGAAGAGGAGATGGGCAGAGGAGAGGGAAATAGAAAAAAGCAACACAGTCACCGCCCCTGAACTGTGTGTATTTTGCACTGTTCTCGTCAGTATCGTGGGGACCCCACTTTTGTTGGTCTTGTTTCTTCACTGCCTGAGATCATTTTACACCACCGCAAGGGAAGAGGGGACTCAGACTCCTGCTCTGGGATGTGTTATGAGTTCTGCTGGATTCTGTGGGAGTGAACATTGCCAGGAGAATCAGATTCCTAGGTTTTTTTGCCTAAGTTACGCTGTTGACTATTAGGTCTCACTAAGGGGCAATATTGACCGTATGCATACAGTGAATACCGTAGCGAAGTTGAAGTACTGTTGGTCAAATTGCGGCAGGATCTCCACTGCAGGGGGTTGATGGGAGAAACTTTCCCGTTGTCTTCTCTTATGCTTCTGGAGTACTGACATTAACGAGAGAGCAATTGGTGGGTGATTTAGTGGGTCTTCACTAGACCTGATAAATCAACCCCCAGAGGATCGATCGCCGCAGCATGGCTCTCCCAGTAAGCATAGACATGCCTAAAAGAGAAATTCACCCCTGTGGAGGACAACAGGATGCCTATATGATATCTGAGGGTATGTCTACGCTACAGCATTATTTCAAAATATCTAATTTCAAAATAGTTAATTTGAAATAAGATATTTTGAAATAAAGAGTCTACACGCACAATGCATTTTGAAATAGCATTTTGCTATTTCGAAAGAGCGCGTCCACACTGAGTGGACTCTGAATCGCATTTAAGGCTGGCCAGAACCAGTTCTGGCAGGGCACCAGGTTAGGACTTACTGTGTGGGGCTGCTGCCTGAGGCTAACTGAGGTCTGTGCTTAAAGGCCCTCCTCTCCCACCCTGGACAGCCAGTTCTCAGCTTTCCTTGCTTGCTTGTCTACCTCGATGAGGGACAGCAAAGCATTTTGTCTCTGCGTGCCCTGGTTGCCCTCACTCAGGACATCACAGCACTCGGCAACATGGAGCCAGCTGCTCCTGGGCACTCTGGTGCTTCTCTTGGATGCATTGCTGCGAGCTTGGCTGCACTTTCTACAGGCTGCCATCCGGGAGGTCCATCGGGGGGCTGTCAGTATCCAGGAGGCCCTGCGGGAGAGCTACTACCCTGAGGAGCACTAACAGTCTCCCTGGTCTGCCCCACTGGGAGCTTGTGCCCCATTCCTCCCTCTTGTCCTTCCACTTACCCCTCCCTAACCCCCTTCCTGGTGTAAAATAAAATACACGTATTTTCATAAATACAAACTCTCTTTATTTAACAAAATGGGGGAGGGGGAGAATGAAACTCTAGTGAGACTGGGGAAAGGAGGCAGGAGAAGGGAGAGAGAGGGTGGGAGAGGGGACGGGGAAACCTGGGAGGAGGGAGCTGGAAGGGGGAAGAGAGTGGAGAAGAGAGGGTGGAAGAGGGGAGGGGGAAACCTGGGAGGAGGAAGCTGGAAGGGGGAAACAAAGGGAAGAAGGGGGAGGGGAAGCTCAGGGTTGGGGGTCTCGCCGGGCCAACTGTCTCCCAGCACCGTGTCCCCAGGGGGATGCGAAGGGGATGGAGGGTGTGGAGGAGGTGGAGGGAGAAGCGGGAGGGGGAGAAGGAATGGGAGGAGGAGCAGTAGCTGGGGAGGCAGCAGGCGCTGGAGCGGCAGGAGGCAGCAAGCTCTACTCCAGGGTCTGCAGGTGCTGGCAGATGGCATGGCCCCGGGCAAGCTGCTCACGCCGGAGCTGAAGGTCTTCTTGCACCCAGTGCTGGTGGGTGCGGTGCAGGGCTCACAGTGCCCCCAGGTGCTGCTGCTGGTACCCCTCCACTCCATGGGTGGTTCTGCGGGCGGGTGGTGCACCCTGCAGGCGCAGCTAGTGCGGCTGTGGAGAAACAAGAGTAGTGGTCAGTTCTCCCTGGGGACACAGTGGGTGAAGCCCAGTCCCCCTCTGCAAGGGGAGGATGACCGTGCCCTGCACCATCAGAGCCGATGTGCTTACACAGAGGCCATGTTCGGAATGTCCTGCTATCCCCAGGAGTGGGAGCTACCTCGAGAGCACACCCCTGCCCCTGTGCTATATAGAGTGTGTGTATGGGGGGAGGTGTCCCCTGCCCCTGTGGAGAGGGGCCGTGGGAAGGGAACACTTCCTGCTGTGTCCCACCTCGGAGTCAGGAGAATGTCATGTCTCTTCTAAGGCCCCTGTGTGGCAGCCAGCTGGGGCCACGTGCCCAGGGGTGGCGCAGCACATGCTCGCACATGCACGAGTTGCTGCGTGATCCGTGGACAGCGAGGCCCACACGCACAATCCCTGGTTTCTGTCCCCCCTTCCCCTCCTGAATAAGGGCACAGTGATGGCACTCACCTGTTGTTGCCTCTCTGGCCTTGGAGGACACTGGCGACAGGCCTGCTGGGCTGGCCTGGGGGAACCTGGCTGCTCAGCACCCTCCACCTGCTCTGCTGCCTCTCCTGGCTTGCCTCCTCCTCCTCCTCTGTGCCCTGGTTAGGGCCCTCTGCTCCAGGGTTGACGATCACCTGGGGGGCACGGCCCGTCCCGCCCCCCAGGATGTGGTCCAAGGCATCGAAATAGGGGCAGGTGTCTGGGTCTGCCCCTGGTTGGGAGCTGCCCCTGTGGTCCTGGCATACGCCTGCTGCAGCTCCTTGATTTTCATCCGCACCTGCTCCTGGGTGCGGCTGTGGCCCTTGGTGGCCAGGCTGGCAGCCATCCGGCTGTAGATGGCTGCGTTCCTCCCTCTCGTGGGGAGAGCATGGACACTGGAGGATTCCCTCCAAACTCAATGAGGTCCACGATCTCCGCACTAGACCATGCAGGTGCCCACCTTTTGCGGCCCCTGGTAGGCTCCTGGGAGCTAGGGGACTGCTCCTGGGGAGCGGTGGAGGGCTGGCTGCCAGTGGCTTGCTGGCTCATGTTTTGGGGCACTGGGTTGAGGCAGGAAAGACTGTTTCCTGGGCTGGCAGGCTTGGAGCTGGCACAGGCACTGTGGCCAGAGTCTACCCCTTTAAGGGCTCCCGGGCGGGGG